TAAATTTAAGTTTCCCTAATTTGGTATAGATGAGACAGAGGGCTAAATTGACTTACCGGTATCAGTTTTCTAGTTAGTCCCCTTCCTTATTAAGGTTGAATTGATAACAACAGGTGAGAGATTAACTATACAGCTATATTCCAGACATTATAAACATTGATAACACTAACAAAAAGCAAAAGCTAGCAAATAAATCCTAAAAGAAAATGTTATGATTCAAAAAGTTACATGAATTTACATATAATATATAGAATGATTGRTAATTATGATAGTTAATTAATAAGTGATTAATTCTAAACAGTAGATAAAATAAATAATTCAGATAAGTTAAGAAAGAACGTTTCCAGTTGCTGTTGAAACAGAAGAAAATCTTTCACTTTCCTATTAAATGAAAAGGACAATTTTAAGGACTTAAGTTTGTCTGGGARTTCTTTCCATAAGTAAATAGCCACAAATGTCATTGCTTGTTTACCTGTGWTCGTTCTTACTTTGGGTTTATAAAATAAAGTTAAATTTAGATRTGTACCTTGTGTTGTAATTGTGTACTTTGTTTGCCTATTTGAAGTAAATGGTGAATATGCTTTGAAGTTTTCCACAATGCCACAAATGAATGAAATTGAGTACATGCAATTTATAAACATTATATATGGAAAGAATATTTAGTAAATTTAAGAATTGTTTAGCACTTTGGGTGTCTTTTCCATAAGTTGTTCACAAAGAAAATTAATCTTGCAGCGTGATTTTGTTTCACTTGAATTTTTTGCATTAGACCTTTAGTAGCACTTCCCCATGCCATTTTTTACGTAAGATATGTACGGATATATTAAATTATAATATAAAAGTTGTTTTAATTGTTTAATAGATAAGTAATGTCTTAGTTTGCAAATTATTCCAATACTCCGAGAAATCTTCGAACTTATGTATGAAATGTGGTATGAAAGAGAGCTATCAAGTATAACACCTAAATACTTGAGGTGATCTTTTCATGTTAAATTTTGAATTGATCCATCTACACTTTTTAGTCTGATGTTAAGAGAAGCATCTCGTTTCTTAGTGGATTTAACTAGCATGTGATTGGTCTTGGTTGCATTAATTGATAATTTGTTAACATCGCACCATATTTTGATTTTTTCAAGACCTTCGTTTATTAGTTATTATTAATTTATTAATTTATTTATTTATTTATTTATTTATTCAGCTTCATCCACTAGAAATTATAAATAATCAAGTTACACAAAAATTACAAATAGTAGACTGGGACAACACAACAGCATAGCCAATTACTGTGGGCCCAACTTTGCAAATTACAAAAACAAAAATGGGACAAATAAATGAAAGCTAAAAGACAAGACAAAAAAGTAATGAAAAGCTAAAAACAATAGTCGATAGCTAAAGCTTATTAGTTGTTGATTATTAAGAATTGTTTCATACTTTTGTGGTGTGCACTCTATACAATGAAAACAAGATTTTCAATGATTTTCCATGACTTTCTAGGCCTGGAAAACTGGCTTTCCTGGGTTTCAAGGACCTGTACAAACCAGCATTATTTGATTAGGCTTACTATAATCAACGAAACGAAACGAAACGAAACGGGAATCTGTATTCAATATACAATAGTTTTTTGAGAAATCTTTAAAAGTGTAAACACAATAAACATCACGCACATGGCAATAATGCAAACGTGACTCAATTAGTTGACGAGCTTGCTTAAAGGTCTATTAAACCGTTCACTCTGATAGTCTTTCCTTTTTCATACTTGCCCTATAAAACAAAGTACAAATATGAATAGACTGATTCTAATTGTAGTAATTTTAAAAAGTTCAAGAATCAGACAGTCTGCAAAGCCGGCATAGTTGGCGTCGCGCCAGCTTGTGCCAGCGATGTCAACACGGCTACATCTTTGACCTCTGAAAACCATGGCCGCTTCAATCTTCATTTAGGAATACTGCAGCTTGAATACCAATGTTTTCTTTAATCCAGAAGAGACAGAAATGTAGCCGCTATCCGGCAAATCAGACTCAGACGGTCACGTTGTGGCATCACTGAGCTAGGGAAAATCTCGCCAAGGAAAATGCACTGTTTGGCTCGATACACCAACCTTTATGGCCTAATCCAATGTCGTAATATATGCTCTTACACAAATGAATACTTTGGAATAACAAAGGGGCTCTAATCTCAAAGAATTAGCTCCATTTCGGCGATTATAGTTACCCACACGGCTTACTATAATCAACGAAACGAAACAAAACGAAACGAAACGAAACCTCTCCCCTCCCCCCTCAGTTATCCCTTTTGTTTAGAAAAAAATTACAGATTGTAGAACCATACAGGAAAAACACAAATACCGCCAATGAAAAAGCTGATACTTTATAGCAGAAGAGCTTATTCGCTTTGCTTTCAGTATTTCAGGTTTCCTACTTACTTAAAGTGTACAAAACCCCAGCGGGTGAGGGCTAGGGGCTTTTTTGTTTCTGTTGCTATTTTTCAAGTCGACATTGTTGTTATGTCTTTTAAAATATCAACTATAAGAAGAAATAGCGTAAAAAAGTTAATCTTCCTGAAAATTATATTGTGATAAAATGCCTACATGCGTGTATACCGGATCGACTACTCGTCATGAACGTAGTTTCAGTCGATAATTACGTGGGAAATCTCTTTTAATAGGCATTATATTTTGTGTTTATTTGATAGACATGAAGGTTTTGGTACTTAAGACTGATAAGCATGACATTTTTTTCATTTCAGTTATTTTTTTTAATAATTTATTATGTATGTTGCATATAAATTACATATTTGATAATATTTACAATTAATGAGGAACATACTAAGTATGTTCCTAAGCATGATGATGTCATACCCTAACCATTCAGAGTAGGATATTTCAAAGGCAGTTTGTTAAGAAATTGACTATAATATAACGTAATACAAGGCTCGTAAGCTTTTCTATGTTGAGTTTTTTTTCTTTTCCTTTCTTTTCTTTCTTCCTTTCTTGTGTGTGTGTTTTGCCTCCGATTCTTCAAACAAAAGGGATAACTGAGGGGGGAGGGGAGAGGTTTCGTTTCGTGGTGTCATCAACTATTCACTTTTCAACCTTTCGGTCTTAACAAGCGATTAGAATCAAATTCTGCTCATAGGATAAATTACTCCTAAAAGGGAATTTTACAAGATTTAATTTTGTTGTTAAATTTTTTTTGTTAAAAAGACTCAAAAGTTCTATGAAAAACTTGTACAGAAGCCTAAGCAGAATAATTAATCCTATTTTTTGAATTCGATTCTAAGCGTTTGTTTAAGCCATGAGGATTAAATATTGTCTGATGAGTGCGTAGCACAAAACTCGGAGTAACAGAAAATCTTGCCTCTTTGATATTAAAGTCGAGTAGAAAACCAAGTTGCAAGCTGTGTGCCTTTTTCTTCAATTTATTCCATTTATATATATAATTACCTCTACATTATATGTGTATTGAACACTCTTTAATGGGATCAGCAACTTCCTCGTGTGATATATAATTAGATAAAGTGTTTTGGGTTGTTGTCATTTAACTCATGCCACAAGCTTGTGATGCTAGCCCAAAAAGAATGTTGATCTTTAAAACAATTTTTATAGATACCATCAAGCTTGAAGGCAAGACAAAAGTGGAACTCCAGTGTACAGACTGCATTCTCATACATTGAAGTGGCACCTGACAAAGTTATTGATGCCAGTTTAACTGGATATGAAAAAACCAAGGATTACATCAAGCAGCACTTGAATAAATAATAAGAAACTCMGCAAAATGTAGAATAATTTTATAGTACATTTGAGTATCATTTGTGGATTTGCTCTCCAKTTTGTGATACAGGAAGTGAAAAATTTAATGTCTGAGCTAGTAACCATGCAGCCATATTTTGTAGAAAAGTAATCAGACTTGTTGCTCTTCTAAATGYCCTAAATGTTGTTTCACATAGATTTAATTTTTTTATAACTTTTGTTTGCTCTTAATATTTTCTGCTAAATTTAGAAAAAAATCATTTTACAAATTATCCAAATTAATGACGACATCACTTAAATACATGCTATTGAAATTTTGTTTTTGGAAYTCTTCTTTTTCACTATCTAATCTTTCATTTCAAGAAACATCACTTYCTAGTASTCCTACMGTCCTAGTTTCCTTAGAACAACACRGTACACAGTATGCGGTGGTCGGTCTATGCCAGCAACCAATATTCTTTATTGCAAAGAAATCATTCAATATTGAAGAAGCAATTTGAATATTGAAATGATATTTTGCTATGTTGCTAAAACCACAAAAATGTCTAGCTTGGTGTACCTGTGTTATATAGCGTCAATATTGTAATTCTCAGCAGCCTTACATTATTTAACAAAGATTTGAAAAATTCAGCTCTTTGGTAATGTTATAGACCCCTTGCATGTGACGTCAAAGCAGCTTCATCTGGAGGACAAAACAAAAGATTTTTATCCTCTTGGGAACTAGAATCCATTGTTTTGTCCTCCAGTTGCAGCTGCATTCCCATGAACTGCAAGGGGTCTATATTTTAATGATTCATATTGAAACCAAGTAAGTTCCAGTAAAAATRTTAAAAATGAATCCCTTGATATATGTATTTTTCAAATTGTTTGAAATGCAACAATTATGCAATCTATACAACATTCAGGGTTCGTGCTACTCCTTGACGCTTGAAAAGCCCTTGAAAATGGGAAAATCACTAAAACTCCTGGAAAACTCCTTGAATCTGATGAAATTAACATATTGCCTTTTGCCGTTTGGATTGAAATGTGGCTATTTTGAAAATCACCGGCTGGAAACATTCACAAACATCWAAAAATATCTTCAAATATAGTGTCTATAGTCCTTGAAAATCRCATTTTTGCGCTTAAAAAGTAYGTAGTGAAAATCTTKCATGAACCATGTATATTGCTTCACTCCAACTGCTGATAATTTGTTGAAGTGTAAACTGCAATGAATTACTGACATATGGCTCAGAAGGACAAATAAATTATTATTCACTTGAAGATAAATAATTTATTGTAAAATTTATACATAAATTTACATTCATTAACTGCAAATATTGCCAATGATTTTTAAAGGAAAATATTTAAAAAAAAGCTAATCAAGACACTGGTGTATCAGGCAGAGAGCAATTTGCATTAATAAAACTTCAAAATCTTTTAACTCTGATTTGGACGTCTTTTGCAAGGGAATTAACTGATTAAATCTAAAGTTGAACCTCGTGTTATTTCGGCTTTCTTAGCCAATGGTATAAAACAATTATCTATAAACGCGATACAAGTATTTCTCGAGGTATTGATTATCTAGTAGATATGATTAAATGCTGGATAGTAATTGGGTGTGGTTGGCAGGGGTGGATAGTAATACTGACATGGTGGGGCACAAACTGGATCACTCGTGCTTGCCTGGAAATCTTCACAGCTCGATGGAGTGCTTAATGCCATTGGGCTGGTATTCTTTAAGCTAAGAAGAAGCTGTACAACCATTTGTTCTTCTTGCAATTTTTGATACATGTACTGCTCTGTAGCTGCTGTTTCTACTGCGGCTGGAGGCTCGAAAGGTGAAGGGCTTGCGAAGTACACTTTATTCGGTGTGGTTGACCTGCTATCTGAACTTGTTATGGAAGAAGTCTCGCTATCGCTGTTTTCGGCGTCGGGTCCAACACATTCGTCGCTATAGCAGTTGTATCGTCTTTTCCTGGTGCTATGAAGTACAGCTGTGCGCTTTGTAAAATGTGTCTTTGCACTGCGGTTGACTTTTTTGTTCTTTCTTGGGTTGCAAGTGCGATGTACTAAATGCATTAGCTCAGGGTTTTCCCGTTTGAAGTTCTGATGCTCAAACTTCATGTTTTTAGAGGGGTCTGCCTTCCCGTTCACCGGCACTTTTTTGAAACCGTAGAGATTCAGTTGTCTAACGAAACTGGTGAAATTTCGAGTCTTGAACATTTTCATCTCTTCGCTCTGGTCGAGCACAAGTTTCTTGAACGTTTCGCCATCAGAAATGACGATAGCACAGCCGTTTTCACACCATTTTATCGCTCGACGAAACCTTTCGTCACTCAGAAGGGCTTTCAGTTTGGATATGAAAGGACTGAGTGGCTTGCCTTTCAAAGGATGGAAACGGTTAGGTTCCAAATTCATGATTTTGTTCGACGGCAACGGTATTTAAGCTGCTAAGTTATCTTTCAAAATGAGTTGAAATCCTTGCTGAAAAAGAATACCATTTACTCCATTTATTAAGAATGAGAATAGAAGCAGTTATTCATTCTGAGAACATGATGAGAAAAGAAAAAAAAAACAGGTTTTATGTAACAAGATTTGCATTTGACGAGAAACGTGAAAACAGAAGACTATAAAATTATTCCACTKAGTTTGTTTAGTTGGAACTATRAAGAAGACCTGCCTGTTCCCCCAAACTTCAACATGAAAAAACGTTGATTAAGCCAATTTGTTAAACTATTACTACTTTCTCATTAACAGCAATGCGGTCATTAATTTTTGCTAGGAAAGTCTAGGTGACAAAATGAAAAAGGTACAAATGATACAAACCTGACAGGCTTCCATTCGAAGGAAACTAACAACAACTTTGAAATCAACCACAAAACATTTGAACGATTCCCACAMTCTCGGCCAATCGCTATCATCTCAAGATTTGACGAAAGTCCTGATTGGATTAAACTTGACAGCTTCTGTCGTGAGTGCTGGATTGCGTATATCGTGCGCGAGCGCTTCAACTCTCGAGCGAAGACGAAATTTCCCGATACGAAGGTTACGAAGAATTGCAGAAGCCGACTATATATTATTGAGGGTGAGAGAGCTAGGCTTGAGAAACAACTMTTCACCTAATCAATGGGGACTATTGACGGCTTCTGCCATTTTAGATGTCGGTTTTCGGTGTGGTTTATGGTTGAATGATATCGAACGCGTATAGATTTTATTATGTGTAAGAGTTTAGATATAGATTTAGGTATAGATTTTCCGATTTAATAAACGCGGATTCTTAATTCTAGTTCATTAATCACAGGTATCCAGAAATTGGGGGGCCCTGAAATAATTTCGTTGGAAAATAGGGGGGTCTTGGATGTTTAAAATCATAGTTTAGGGGGGTCGACTTGAGAGTACACGAAATCAATATTTTTTCAAATAGACTATAGTAGGCAACCACTCTTGTAGGCGACCACGACTACTACCTGTTTTTCCTCTTCCGTAAGCGACCACCCTCGACTGATGCCACTAAAGGACCTCCTTACTTAGAGCGGATTTCGTATGAGTGGGAAACGCGGATGGTACTGTACTGAAACCGTAATCGTACTATAACTAAATTCTAGTGCCCATTGGTTCACAAAAATTGTACAGGCAAGGTCCGGTAACTGTGCGGTAACGGTGCGTTTCCCACTCATACGAAATTGACTCTATGTAATGTATACAGAACGAGAGAGCGTGTTGTATTTAACAAATAGATCTCATTTTTCCGTTCCATTTTTTCAGATGACGTCAAAATGTAGTGAGAACAAAAAAGTAC